GACTGAGACATCTGAAACTGAGACAAAACAAATATTTCTTACTTTTAAGTTGATTATCTCAGGTATTTGTCACAGTAATGGAAAAACTGATTAATACATGCATTATAAACAGTGAAAAGAGGATGAGGCTCTCTCTGTATTTTAAGACTTGAACTCAAACATCAGTTCTGACACTTCTGAGTGTTAGTTTCTTGGCTTATAAAAAGACAGCTAACAGTATTTACTTTTCCATAGTTTAAACCAGCATCTTATCTATTTCTGTATTCTTCTAGCTTTTTTATTCTACTTACCAGCTAACCTTATTGTGACCTAGTCTTTGTATTCTTCTTTCCTGTTCTTGAAGATCATCAACATTCTCTCAAACTTACTATTTTTCCTATCCAGCTAAGATTCTAAAGTGGATCATTTCATCTTTTGTCCTAACCCTTTACTTCTTTGCTATTTTATCCTTAACCATTAATTATCCTGAAAACCCATCATAAATTAAACTACCTAGTTTTTCTAGTTCTTACCTAGTTTGCTGTACAGGAACAAAACAATCTTGAGGATTGGAATTTGACCTCAGCTGCTCTTTAAACAATGCCTGGAAATCCTACACTATATGGCCTGTGTATTCTTACACTTTTTGGTCTCAAAAAATATTTTTATTTTCTTTATATACTTACAAATTATTGAGAACCTCAAAGAATTTTTGTCTGTATGAATTACACAGATCAATATTTGCCACATTAGAAATTAAAGCTGAAAAAATTTCTAAGTATTTCTTAATTCATGTAAAAGCAAGCATAATATATCTAATACTTGTTAAAATGATATATTTTTAAATGAAAAATGACCATATTTTCCAAAATAGAAAAAATGTCTATACTACCCAAAGCGATCTACGAATTCAACAATCGCTACCAAAATTTGATTGACATTTTTATAGAAATAGAAACATAATCCTAAAATTCATGTAGGAAAAGAAAAGACCCAAAACAGCTTGAGGAATCTTGAGCAAGAAAGAATAAAGCTGGAGTCATCAAACTATCTGATCTGAAGTTATATCATAAAAGTGCAGTAATCAAAATAGCATCATACTGGTATAAAAAGAGATAAATAGATCAATGGAACACAAGAGCCCAGAAATAAATCCACATATTTATGGTTAACTGATTTTCAACAAATGTGCTAAGAACACAAAATGAGGAAAGGACAATTTTTTTTTCAATAAACGATATTGGGCAAACTGACATCCCATGCAGAAAATAAAATTATACCCTCAGGTCACACCATACACAAAAACTGAGTCAAAATAGATCAAAGCCTTTAGGGTAAACATTGAAACTATACAACTAAGAGAAAAAATAATAGGGGGAAAAATCTCCATGATATAATCTGGGGAAGGAATTTTTGGGTATGATCTCAAAGCATAGGCAAAAAATTACAAATAAACAAATGGAATTATATCAAACTAAAAAGTTTCTGCACAGAAAAGAAAACAACAGGATGAAGAGATAATCTATAGAGTGTCAAAAATATCTTCA